ATCGCTCTTGAAAAGGGCACGCGGGTTTGTCATTGGTTGTTTGGCTTTGGTTTCCCGATCAACGAACCCAGACACAATCTCGGGCACCTGTGAGCAGTCCCGCAAACATGTGTGGGCTGCACTTCCTTCGCTTGAGCAATTGCGTGTTAGTGCCGCGGATTTGTCAGAGAAGTCCTCGAATGCACTGAAGCGTGTGGCAACCGCCGCCTTTGGCTCGCGAAGCGCGCCCGACGCCCGGGGCAAGGCGCCGGGGCGCGTGACGGGCGGGGCAACATCTAAAGACACCACACCCCACTTGAAGCAAATGTGTGCACACCAATTTCATGCACCAGCTGCCAAGAGTGAGGTCCGCACAAGGGGCGGGACTCTTTGATAGATGCCTGCAATTAAGTTTGAGCGATGGGTTTTATACCAGATCATATCTACATGTTGCAACTGTTGGAATGTGGCGTTAAGCATGGCAACACATAGCTGGACGTACAACTGACGTATACGAGGCAGAAGAAAGGACATATTCACAAAGCGGCTTCAATTTCTTTGCGCCTTTGCAGTAATTTCCATCCAACGAACCCTCCAAGAATACTTTGCCGCTGGTCTTCTGTTGGGATCGGGCGCTTTTTGCCCTCACTGGGTGAGGGGGTGATTCTGGAATTCTTTTTGATGCTTTGATGTTTCTTTTCTGCAGAAAGTAGTTCAATGTGAGCCGTCCCCCCCCCTCTTTAAGGAGGAGGGATGCCCAATGAAGGCAATCCATTTTGGTCTCCTTGGGTGTCTGGGTCCCATAAATTCAGCTATGCTTGGTGGTGAACTAGTACATTCAATCAAAGTGGTGCGTGCCTTTGGCCCCCCTCAGCCATCAGCCACAACAGAGGCGATGATTTCGTCGGTGCTGCTGGTGAACCTCAAGGCTGGGCGAAGCTGTTCCTGTGTCCTTCCCTTTAGAACAACCACAGGGTAGAGCACCTTCCCTTGGGTTTCCCTCTGAACACTGCGATGCGGCAAAACCTGCCGATGCTGCGATCTTTGTCCTCGAAGAAAAGCGGCTGCAATGCCAGCTACTCTTCTCTGCATCGTTCCATGAAGTGGCAGGGGAGCAGTTGTGTCCTTTTTGGGGGGCAGGGGAAGGTCCACAAGATGCGAGATGTCTCTTCATCTGCCTGCTGGGTAAACTTCAGGATTGGCCCATTTTGAAAGGAATTCAATTACTGACCCTGTGCGCAGGCCAAATCAGGTTCAGAGCATGCGCGGTGTTGGAGCATAGCAGCTGCATTTCAATTTGGACGGGTGCGGATACGAGGAGAGACTCACATGGGCGAAATGTGTGATCGTGAATGATCCACATGCTGTCATGTCTCTTTGCTGTTTTGAGCCCGCATTTGTGTTGCTACAGGCGTCCCTCATTTTTGTTCCTTTCTTTGGCCGCAAGGCTTAAAGATGACACGTCACTGTGCTCCGAACACGAGTTCTCACTCGCCCGACAAAACGATGGGGCCGAATGTGAATGTGGTGAGTCATGTTCCCAGGGCCTTTTGTCAGGTCCGGTTGCATTTGAGGCAATGCCATGAGAGTTCCCAATCCTCGCGTCAGGGCGAGATCCTCATTTGGCGAGCGTACAAGGACCGATTTGTGTGAGTGGTGCCCTTTGTTCCTTTGAACAGGCGAAACTTGGTTGAAATCAAGTCCAGCGCCGTTTTTTCCGCATGGCCACTGGGGTCTGAAGGCTACGGTTGAAACCAATGTGAGCAGCACGCGCTGCAAATCAGCATCCAACTTGTTCCAATCCCAAACAAGTTTCTTCACGTTCTGCTTGAGCCAAACTTGAATCACTAGCAAACCCCAGCACAAGCTTGCTCTTTTTTGCTATGTACTATACACCGGAGGAGTCGCGCTCAATCACTGCAACTCAGCTCGATACTGTTTGGCTCGGGTTCTTCACAGAAACCAGGGACCCTTCTTTGGTTGTGGAGAGGAATCCCAGAGGAACCCAAAGTGGCTCCAGGGCCCGTGCCACACATTCTGGTCGCGGACTCACGTCTCACTTCCTCAGTTGGACGTGACACTTGGGAAGACCATGTTCGGTTAAAACCAACCAAGGACATTGGACTTGTTTGGCCAATCCACTCAAGTGCCAAACCCGTGTATCCACACCTACAGCTTTTTTTTTCAGTTTCTGCACTTTGCACTTCATGGTGAGAGAGGATCATTTTCATGGACAGGAAACCCGGACTTTTGGTCGAGCCCTTTCTGGGCAGTGGGGCCCCCTAGGGTGAAGCGTTTCGCACAGAGCTTCCGGTGTCGCGGAGCCGACACCGGGCAGGACAATGTCACTCGTGCGGACTGGCAAGCCTTCTGCAGTCAGGTGGTGGCAGCGAAGGACTCCAAGGGATGGCAAAGTCCAAAGGCTCCGACGCTTTTTCGGTTTCAAAGAGCACTGGGGCCAATGGGAGCTTTCCCTTGGCTGTTTGAAGGCAGAAACAGAACCAGCTTGACCCCAAACTGAACCCCCCCTTTGGGTGTTGCTGCAAGGCAAAAGGAAAGCAACCGGCATTCAACGTCATCCAATGGGTAGGAAGCCCTTTTGTTTGGGGGCTCCCCTTTCAGAGTAAAAAGGCAGGCTGGATCCTCTGACTGTTTTGGGATGTTCTGAGACCCGATTCGGTGGCATTTTTGCATCACCCCAACTGGCAATTCCCCAGTTGCCTCAACAGGGTCATGTTGTGAAGTATCCATTTGGTTCAACACTTTGGGTGTGTCTTAAGATAGGGCACCTTCCCTTTTACATCAACCCAAGAAAGGTACCCTCAACAAAAATACCCTCCCATATGGGACACCCGATATACATTTGCTCGGGGTCGATAAGCAAAAAGGAATGGCCCGGTGAGCGGGATCCACTTGGCTTGTCAAAGCCTATCAATTCTAAGGAGCCTCCAAATGGGTGGAATCCGCTTGGTTCCTTTCAAAGCCACGAGAAAAAATGGGTCTGCTTGAATTCTATGAGAGCCAGCCGTGGCCGTAGACTGTACAGGTCTCGGGTGAGTTTCCTTTTGGGGCGTGTACCCTGTTTCCAACAATCGTGCAAGAGGCCTGTAGTGTTCCAAAACCATCTTGTCAGCTTCCCTGATTGTTGTGCAGGTGCTTTGGTGCTCGGCCTAAGTGCACCTAAATTGGTGGTTTGGATGGGTTTGGATTGGTTAGAGCTGGTTTCCCATTTGCCCTCAAGAACAAGAGCTTCCTCCCCATGCTAACCACCTGACACTTGGCCGCACGCCTTCCAGGAAACCAGGGACAAACCTGTCGTGAGCATCAATGGCTCGCACTTCCTGTACACTACTCAGGCCGGAGAACCGGCGTGAATCGGTTCAGAGAGAGGGACGCGAACGCCAAGAGGGGGAACTTTTGGACGAAGCGCAAGCTCAGTTTAGAGATTGCACTGCGATTTGCTTTGTGATGTTGGCGCCGTTGTCGTTTGACGCAAAATGCATTCTCGCCGCTTTGAATAATTTGCTTGGATTAGATGCCTTTCCCTTGTGATGTCAAGAGGGGGACGCATGCCTTACTCGGAAGTTTAAATGCTGCTTCCAGAAGGGAAAGAGGAGATTCAGGAGAATGGGCCATGTCTTTGTGGCGTCCATGTTTTTTTCGTGGAGTACTTTGTCTAGCCGTTCTTATTTGATCATGGTCAGGAATGGCACTGTCGTGGACACATGCTCCAGTTTGGCAAGGATGGCGACAGCTTATGTCGACACTTGGAGATTGGGGACCCCCTTGTTACACCCCTGCTAATAAATGCGAGCTTTCCAAAAAGAGTCCTCTACAAACCATGTATCGGTTCCGTTTCAATCTGGAGATTGGCCCAGGAAGCCAATAGAGTCGTAAGTGCAGCTTCTTGAAACTGCTGAGCATGTGGCAACCGAGCCACGGCAGCAGTTTTGTTTTGAACTTCCAGCAACTTGCCAAAGCGGGTGTGCTCCATGGGGCGTGCCACATGCGACATTGGAGGGCCCAGTGGCCGGCTTCCGAAGAAAGATCCCCGAATGGATCCACTTTCCACTTCTTGGGGTTACAGGGAAACCACAAAGCCCAACTTCAACATGACTTGCTCAAGCGAACCGACCTGAACCGACCTTTAGACCTGGCTTAGGTCCAGAAGCAGTGGCCCCAAAAAGGTCAACCTGGCACTTGCTAAATAGCGTTCTTTCCCTGAGTATATGTGTGTGTGTGGGTGACTTTTTTGGAGGGAACCCGTTTTGGGGCAGTTTGGGGTTGGGCTTGTTTGAAAAGCTTAGTTCTGTTCCCCCATTTAGAGACAACCCATGTATCAAGATTCACGATACACATGGTATTCCCAAGGTTTCGGTTTTGGGTGGGCCCCTATCCATTCTGCAGGTTGGGTATCCTTTGGTATCCTTTTTGGATGGGTCGTCCCTTGTTTAGACAAACACGCACGCTCGTAGGCCACCAGTATTCATTGCACTCCATCCATCGCTGGTGCGAAGTGGATCTATCCCCTGAATTCACATGACATGGCCATGGGTCAAAATCCCGTTCCCCCAGTGAACATCTCACTCCCCACTAAAACAGGCTAACATGGGTGGTGCGCCTACCCCAAATTGGCACCATTGGTTTTGACCCACAGCCACATACCACAAAGCCACCCAAAGGCCCGTCAAGAAAAGTCAAATCGTGTCGCCGCTGGACTGGCCCAAGTCTAGCGCGCTCTTTGGGCGCCCAGTCCTACCAAGGTGGTTTCAGGATGCAAGTGAGTCTATTATATATATATAGACATGTGTATACATATGTAGAATATGGTATTCATTCATCATGATTGCATGTATTTACGAATCTTATTATTATATATCAGACAGCCATGGGCCCGCTTGAGAATGGCGCACATCACATGTACCAAAGTCATTTGAGCAGGCCAAGCGGAATAGCGCTCGAATGCTGCAGCTTCACTTCCCCCCATGATTTTGATAGCAACATGTCCTGGGGGTGAAGTTGCATTTCGGCACCAGGTTTTTGCCAAACATACAGGTTCGTGTGGGTCACAGGACCACCTTGCAGTTAGCCAAGCGACGCGCACGCGTGCGGGTTGCGCGGGCTGCGCGGGTTGCGCCTTGCGGCCTTGCGCGGTTGCCATGGATGGGGAGCAGCCTGCGAAGAGCCCTGCCTGAAGTGTCGCTTTGGTTGATGTCCCAGAGACATCATCGGCCCTGCGGTACCTTGCGGTACCTTGCGGTTTCAGGTGTGAACAAGAACCCTGAAGTTCTACGAGGGCCGGTTGTGCTGTTATTTTTTTCCGCCCCAAATTTTTCGGGTAACTCTTAATTGGTGGAGGAACCACCGATTCGGCTCCAAACCACCAAACAACGAGGGAAAGGACGCCAGCCATGCCCAAAGATCGACCATTGCGTTTGGTCTTCGTGCCTCGACCTTAGAAGGAAGGGGTTCTTTTTACTGACTTGAGGTGTGGTCAAGTGAGGCGGGACTGAAAACGGTCGGTCCTGAAATCACTGAAAAGTGATTGGTGTCCTTTGCAACGAAGTTCACGCATTGAAACTGTTGGGGTCAGCTTGCAAATCTCAATGACACGATCATATGAGTCCTGGATGCCTGCATCCCAAACAAACGCAAGTCAGCCTTGGATCTCCCAACAAGATTGCTCCGTCATGTCGCACCAATCTTCATTGTCAATCGCTACTATGCAAGTCAGCGATAGCCACAACACATGTTTTGTTGAGGGCATTGAACCCTCTAGACAGTCCTCAGCAGGCACACAGTGGATGCATTGAACCTTGCCCAAATTCACCGCTCCGAATAGTACTAAGCCTCTGATTTCCGGCTGGACCCTGTTGAAACCACTGCCACTGCACGAGTACAAGTGCTAGTGCACAACTCATGCAAGTCCGCGTATTTGCTATTCACTTTCTTTGCCTGGACACTGACCTTTTGAGTCACTGCCAGGAAACCAATAATGCAGGGTCTTATTTTGAGGAATTCAAGGAACAACTACACAAATGGGAGTCGTTCTAAAGGTCCTTGTAAGGAGTTTGGTATTCGGTGACCATCGGTGTTGGTTGAGGTAGCTCCGCGAAAGATTCGCGATGGAGTTGCGAAAGTAACTTTTTTGTTCGCGAAAGTTTTGCGTAGCTGCATCTTGCAAATCAGTAATGTGTGAAAACACTCATCTTTTCTGCTGAATCTTCCTTCTAAGCTGATTAAAACATTTTGTTGTTTGTCCCCTGATAAAGCCTGGTGACGCTACAGTTTGATACCCTGCTTCGCTGGTTAGTGCTCCAGGTGTGCGGGTGTTAGTCGGTGGCTTTAGAAACGTGAGTGATGTTTTGCGAAAGTTCCGCGAAAGATCCGCGAAAGCCCGCGCGAAAGCGCAGGCTTCGATTGCAAGGGGAGGTACTTTCTGGGCGCCGCGCTAGTCAGAGTACTAGCTTGGTACTGAAAACTTGCAACTTCAAGCTGGGGCTGCTTTCGTGCTGGAACAGCAGAAGTGCATTTCGTGCACTGGTGCTGAAAAGTTGCGAATTTCCAGCTGGAGTCGCGGAAGTGCATGTCATGTACTACCCTTGTGATGAAAAGTTGCGACTTTATTTCGCGTACTAAACCGGTACTTAAAAGCTGCGACTTCCCGACTTGAGCAATGAAACGTGCACGGCGATGAATCCGCGAAAGATTCGCGAAAGTAACTTTTTTATTCGCGAAGAATGGCCGTTTCGAGACAAAGGAATTTAGAACAGCTTTGCTTTGCTTTGCTTTGCTTTGCTTTGCTTTGCTTTGCTTTGGCTTATCTTAGCTTGGCTTGGCTTGGCTTATCTTAGCTTGGCTTATCTTAGCTTGGCTTAGCTTGGCTTGCTTGCTTGCTTGTTTGCTTGTTTCATGTATTGTTCTTGTGTTTTTGTGGTTTGCCTGCCTGTGTGCCTGTTTTCTGTTGCTCGGTTTGTTTGGTTTTGCCTGGCGCTAAGACTCGGCGCCTTTGCCCGAACTTTCCGCCGGAGCCGAGGCGCGCGCGGACCGCCGCGCCCGCCGCCCCGGCGGCTTCGGCGGCGGCTGCGGCGGCGGCGGCGGCTTCGGGCTTTGTGCCAGGCGGTCGCTGGCACAAAACGAGTACCATCCACCCACCTCTTCGTGGGAACCGACACTGCTTCCTTTGCCAATGAATTTGCCCGGCTGGAGGGGTTTTAATCACTTCCTGGTTCAACTGAATTCAACGGGCACTCAATGAAAGTTGCAGCTGCTGGTGTCCCTTTGAAACAACCTATCCAGACATTCCCAAAATGTGGTACCCTCCCACAAACAAGCATGGAAGTGGACAGCCTTCGCAAAAGGAATGATGCAGTCTTCCAAAGGGAGCTGGGCACTTCCACATTGGAGGGCAATGTCTGCTGATCATTTTTGGACGAGGTACGGATTCGGGGGTTAAACAGGCGAAACCCGATGATAAAGGTCCAGCACACGGGTTTTCCCCTGTTTCCGGTCCTAGTGGTTTGCCCAGATAATGTAGATCCCTGCAAACTACTTCTGGTTGATTAAGTGTGTAGATTGTGGATCTTGGATTTTTGTTCCCGCTTGTGATAAGTATACAAACGGCAGCAACCTGGCAGTGTCCAAACCCCATTTTGGCTGGCCTCTACTGTCAAGGGGAATCTAAAAGGCAACCTACCAGTTTTACAGGACTAATGTTGGAAGCACCCACCGGGATGTGAGTAATGAGCAGCCAGGGATTCTTAGGCAATTTTACAGCTCACTCCTAATGGGTTTGTCCAAGAGTTGGGAACCCCTTTTTGGTTGGCCTGTAGCCCCCTACTATGCAATTTTATGCCCCTCGAATTTCGGAGATATGCCAAACTTGGTCCTTTGAAACCCTGGCTGATGTGTCATTGAAGCCCTGGTAGATGTCATTCATGTGCAGTATGTGTATATATATATATATATGTTGTTCTTTGCGAGGATTGCTAGTTTGGTCACCATGCACTGGCATGGTTTACCAGGCCAGCCGCCTCTTGCAATCCAGCTTGGCCCAGCTAGCAAGGACTCGACAATCCCCCCCCCCCCCCCCCCCACAGTGATTTAGCGTTGGGCCAAGCTTGACCAAGTCAGGCCACGCAAGGCCGTGCTGATCTCTTTTGGTCTTTTGGGGGTGGCCTTGGGGTTCAGCCAGGAATGATGCCGTTTGGCCTGGACCCCTCCATGATGTCCATGGCGCAATTCGCGCCCTTCGCTCTGGCCGGGATGACAGGCAGAGGGGAGGGATGCGGAACACGTCGCCAAGGAATGTGGAACGCTCAGCTCTTCAAGTCAACCTGATGCCTGACAAAGGGGGTTTGCTTCCTTTCTTGGGTTCGTTTCCTATTGCAGGTTGGTGAATTGTATGTCACGCAGCTCTCTTGGTGACCCGCTCGCTTTCTCGACTGAAGCGCCCCTTTCAGGCCCCTTGGCGCACTTCGGAGCCACGATGTCAGCGCCCACCGTGCCCCGGCACCGTCGCACCTGTGTGTTTTGGGTGGATTTGCCGTCGGATTTGCATATTTGGTTCGTGTGGTCAATGTTGCCCCATGTTGACTAGGGTTTAGAACACCCAGGTTGATCAATTTTCATGTGCCCCATTTCCGAGCCATGCATTCACTTTTTTGGGGGACATGCAGCAGGCGGATTAGCCCAGGGCGACATTAACGCTTCCCCTCCACCAACAAAAGTGGAACTGCACAGGCGAAGCCCTTTCCACGAGAACAGGCCAGGTGTCGTCTTGCAAAAAGGGTCTGTGCACGCCCTGTGTGTTGGCCTGAGTTGAAACTTGTTTGGCGGCTTTCCTTTGAAACCAACCAACATTTGCACCTTGGGCCACCTTGCTATGGATAGCACAAGTCACAGTTGCCGGAAATCAAAGTTTGGCAGTTTGGGCTAAGGTGCCCGTGATGGGCTCTTCCATGTCGGCGGCCACGCTGGCAGCTGCGCCCAAGCTGGCGGCGACGCCGGCGGCGGCAGCGGCGGCGGCGGGTGCGCTCTCCGTGCGCCCGGCGATGGCGGTCGCGGCGGTCCCGGCGAGACCCGGCGCAATTTGGTGGAGAGATACTCGTTGTGGTGTGTGCCTGTTTTGGGACCCCCCAAAAGGGTTCCTTTAATTTTCCCTTCAACACCAACCAAAAAAAGGGTCCTCCCGAAAAGGACAGACCCATTTTGGTGTGTGTGTGGGTGTGCGGTTTTGGTGGGCACGATCACAGAAAGCAAAGCAAAGCCACAATGTTGGTGCTTTGCGCACAGTAAGGCGCGGCAAGGTTGTCTCTTGAATCTTGAAGGAGGATGTTTAGAAGCCTTTGAGAGCTCCAATCGTGGCTCTCAGTTGTCTTTATAGATAGGGCTCCCACTAGTGTGCATTTAAACAACGATGGTCACCCCCGTTTTTTGGGCCCTTTCGCAGCTTAGGATGCAACGCGAGCGGCGTCCCCCCGAGACGCGAAGCCCTACGGAGATCAAGGCGCGGCTGACAGTTGAGGAATCCACTGCGAGTGATTTGTGTGCGCGTTTCCAGAGACCTTCCCAGAACCATTTTCGACCAATTTCTTTTTGTCCCCAATGCACAGATCGCGGTTTATTTCTCAACGTCACGGGCCCCTCCGGACTGGCTGGTCTGGTCCAGTTCTGGCTGGAAGTCATTCCTTCTTGCTGCTCCCAAAAGCTTGCCCCATCCCGAAGGACTTGCAACCAGCGCTTGCTGTCCTCCTCTGCAAATGGGTGAGCCCCTTCTTCTCAAAAAACCCCTCTGGCAACTGCCATTCACTCTGGCTGAAGACCCCCCAAGCCGGTGTGCGTCCTGTGTCTTTATCCAGGTACGACCAGTGTTTCCAGTTAGCCAGCGAGAACCATCATGGAAAACTCAGGACCCATAGAGGTCAAACAAAACAGCCCTTGTTGCTGAGGCTAGTGATTGCTGGGAACCGCATTTGCCATTTGACCCCTTTAGCATCACGGGACCTCCCTGACCCAGGAGACCCTTCTTCGGCTTGGGTGCAGCATCACCAACCTCTCCCCCCGGCAGATGGTCCTGGTGCTGCAGGAGACAGAAGCCCAGGTTGGGCCGCACCTTACATGAAAACCATGCGAATGAAGCGCAACTCGTTGCGCATGAAGCGCAACTCGTTGCGAATGCATTCGGAATCGCCGCTTCCGATTCGGGACCTCCCGATTCCTGCAGGCTGCCATGCTTCGGGGGTTATGTGTGATGATTTCACTGGAGAGCTCTTGGCTCTAAAATACAGTATTTTTATTGGTTGGTTGGTCGTTTGTTTCTTTGGTTGTTTGTTTGTTTGTATTGTTTGCATTGTTTGCGTTTGTTTTCTTATGTGTGGGCCCATTCTTCATTGCCAGACGCTTTGCGGAGGAGCTTGGATGATGTCCACCCCTAGAAGGGTTTTAAAAGAGTGCAAAGAGTACCAAAGAGCGGAAGCAGTTTTCTAGATTGGCCGGGGTAGTCAATGTCGAAGATAATTACAGCGTTTGACAACTAAAGAGAGTCTCTTGGGTGATATCCACGGATTAGCAAGAGTCATGCGCAATTGCGCGCATTTTGGCCTCTAGATGTTTGAGCTTAATAAGGCTTGTTTTTGCGACCTGGATTGCAGAATCGCTGGTTGCAGGTTGGCTTGCTGCTCGTGAGCGGCATTCCTCGAAAAGTCTATTTTTTGACCTCCAGACAGATCTCACCCGTGGCTGAAATTTGCTAACTCAATTCCCATTTCCTGGAAACAACTATCATGACTCATGACCCACTAGTCAAAAGCCAAGTTCCTAACAGTTGGGGAATACTAAACTATAGAAGAATCATTTGACCAGCACCCTCCCAGAGTGGTCCATTTGTGCCGGGGAGACGCTTTTGGCTCGCATGACAAGGTCCTTTAAGCCATGTTCTTGGCAACCCTCCCAGCTACTGGACATGCTGGGTGTGAACTGCTAAGCAAAGCTTAGGTTTGCACTCTCCGGCTCGCTTATGTGATTGATTTTAATGGTCGGAATACTCTCAAGCAAGCGGTGGTTGCATAAACCCATCACGTGCCTTTGATGTAAGGATCCAACTGATCCAACCATTCAAAAATGCATTCCCTCAAGGCATCAAGGAGGTGAGTTTTGGGCATGGGTCAAAATTAAGCCACCAGGGACCGCAGGTTTTAGTCCTTGGTTCCATTTACCAGGGTTCCATTTTGGGTACCTATTTTTGACCCACAGCCTTCTGGTGAGCCTAATCTTCGCACATCCTCGAACTCAAGGGATGCTATATTGAGGTGGAGGCTATGATCAGCAAGGCGCTTACAGCGGCAGTCAAACAGTTACAAACCGAAACATGCCGCTCATTTGCCCAAAGCTCACCTTTTGGATCCGTCGCATTTTCTACTGCGTTCGAGTTTTGATACGAACGACGCAGCGCCCCCTTAAAGGCATGACACCCCCCCTTAAGGTGCTCCTATATTTTTTTTCCAGCAAGAGGGTGAAAGGCAGAATTTGGCCAGCTGAAACTTCCTCGCTTTCTAAGACTCCAAGGCACACCCTTCCTTGCTTTCTGCCAAGTGAGCCACAATCAACACCTAGACAATGGAAGGTTGGTACGGCAGCCGCCCTTGCAATTCGTTGCCTTATTTCTGTTTTTGCTGACTCAACTGCGCGATGCCTCGCCTGCTGCCGATCCGTTGATGGACATCGTTCGTTGAGGTGCGGCGCGCCGAGAAGACGAAGACGCTGGAGCGGCACCAGGAGAGGGAAGATGTGGTCAAAACAACTGTGTATTGCTTGTCACAATATAGAAACCCGCCAAAAAACATAGTGCTTGCCCTTTTGGTTGTCCTTTAAACCGCCTCAAAACTGGGTACCTTAAAAGCAAACACACACACACACACACACACACCCAACCAACTCCACCACAAGCAAACAAACAACAAAGAAGCAAGCAAGCAAGCAAGCAAGCAAGCAAGCAAGCAAGCAAGCAAGCAAGCAAGCAAGCAAGCAAGCAAGCAAGCAAGCAAGCAAGCAAGCAAGCAAGCAAGCAAGCAAGCAAGCAAGCAAGCAAGCAAGCAAGCAAGCAAGCAAGCAAGCAAGCAAGCAAGCAAGCAAGCAAGCAAGCAAGCAAGCAAGCAACCTACCAAACAAACAAGCAACCAATCAAACAACCAATCAAACAACCAAGCAAGCAAGCAAGCAACCAGCCAAACAATCAAACAATAAATACATCAATCAATCAATCAAGCAAGCAAACATACAAACACGCAAACAAACAAACAAACAAACAAGCACACAAACAATCACACACTCACACACAAACAAACAAACAAACAAACAAACAAACAAACAAACAAACAAACAAACAAACAATTAAACACACAAGCAAGCAACAAACAAACAAACCACACCAAACCAAACCAAACCAAACCAAACGAAACCAAACCAAACCAACCAACCAACAAACAAACAAACAAACAAACAAACACGCAAACAAACAAACAAACAAACAAACAAACAAACAAACAAACAAACAAACAAACAAACAAACAAACAAACAAACAAACAAACACGCAAACAAACAAACAAACACAAACACAAACACACAAACACAAACTCACAAACACAAACTCACAAACACAAACACACAAGCACGCAAACACACAAAGACAAGCACACGCACACAAACAGACACGCTCCAAACACTGACGCAGACAGAGACAGAGTCAAAGACGGAGAGGATACCACCCCTTCAAAGGGATAGTGCACAACAATTCTTTGCATGTGTTTGGTGTTCCTTCTCTTCGCGTGTTTGCTTCTCTTCATTCTTAGAGAACTTGTTTGCCAACATACCTTTTTCGGATGGTTGACCATCCGCGCAAGCGGATTCCTCAGCTCAAATGCGACCTGTGAATGCGCTATGGCCGGGAACCTTACGCAGGGCAAGGGTATCGTGGCAGACCGTCTTATCACTCAGCAGGATCAGTTCGGGCGAAATCGAATGGTGGGGCTTGGAGATGGATGGGGAATTCACCGGACAATCGTTACATCACTGGAGTGCCAGTCTGCCCACAGCTCAGTGTTGAATCGACCTGGTTGGAAGCCGCCTTGCCCCGATGACCGTGAATCGATCCCACGGAACCTGACTCTTGTTGCAATTGTTTGTGTTGGTCAATTCCATTTGGCTCAAATGATATTTGAGGGTTGAGTCAAACTATATATATATATATATATGTGTTCCCAACAGCTGAAAGCTACGGGGTCTTTGCCCAGATAGGCTCTGGGGTGGTTCGGGGTAGCTTTGAGGCAGGGTTTCGGAGGGTTCCAGCGGGTTCCGGGGCTGCTGGGGATGCCACTTGGGCTTTTCATGCATAACATACTGCCCAAGCCCATTTCTATGGTCAAAACGCTCTTGTACTGAGGAGGTAATCATGACTTGTTGTTGACCGTTTCGGACGGATCCGGGACAACTGGCATAGATCTTCTCACTGTCACAACTGCGAGATGACAGGGCTGCGACATGCTGCTGCATGCATGCCCAGAGGTATCATGATACGTTGCAAAGCTTTACCACCAGTCAAGACCAGGCAGAAAACACTCCCCACTTACAACCAGTCAAGACCACCCCTCCCCCCCCTACTTCAACAGGGTGTGTGTTTTTCGTTCCCCGACTTTGCGCTCTTTTCCCGCGCGTCTTTCCCCCGCCACGGAGCCATCGGAATTGCTCAGGACCAGCGGCTCCTGAGCTGCTTCACGGAGGGCCTGGCGCCGGGCCCCGAGGCCTCGGCAAAAATCGGTCGAAGCGATTGGCGCGAAGCTCGTTTTTTTTTTTTTCCCCAGGGGTGGGTGGGTGGACTTGTCGCGTTTTTTTACAGGGGAGGGACCTTGGGTGGGGAAGTTTACAGGGATGAGTGGACTTCCACCAATTCAGATGTAAGTATAAAGCCGAAGAAGAGATGGGTCCTTTGGGTGAGTGCCAGAAGCAATGCGAAAACGGGGCCCGGATGCACATGAGAGACCACGAATGGTCTCCTTTCAATGAGTTATTCCTTGAGACAGGTCCCCCTTTTTGAGCCTAGGGTTTGGTCCTCCTTTCTAAACGTTGATCCCCTTGCCGGATCTGGGCTCTTCGAGCTGCAAGGTCCTCGGCTTGCAAAAAAGGAGTTGCCCCTTGACTGAGCGTGCATGAAATTAAAGACGGAAGAGACTCGAAGGGATTCGCGGGGTGTACATGTGAAGCTCGCACCTTAACAGGTTGCCTAGCTTGGACACCCTGGGCGGACATGTCTTGTTTGAGGGTACCCATGGTACCCCTGTTTGGGGTCTGTCAGTTGACACCAACTTTTGAGAAAGCAGAACCCTTCCCCCCCCACCCCTTACCCTTCATCCCCTTTTAGACATGTTATAGCATGCTGTAGGAGTGTTACAGCACTGTTAAAGTAATTGTGTGCCCAAAAGGTTCCCGACTGACTGACCCCAACTTGTGGGCGTGCTGGAAAATGACACCCAGCACTACGCTCAACATGTCAAATCCAGGTCTTGAATGTGCGCTGAGGGGGAAGGGGGAGAGGAGGGAAGGGGGGCGGGAGAGCCCTCCCGTTTTTCCCGAAGCTTCCCCAAGGCTTCCGGAAGCTTCCCACCTATTATTTGGCCCAGGGGGTGGGGGTTGTGGCTTCTTAAAACTTCACTCTCTAGGGGTTTCCACCAGCACAAACCACTACCCTCAAGAGCACAATGGGGTATGCAACCACTAGACATTATTCCAAAGGGCATATACTCTACGTAAACATTACAAACGGTATGTCGTTCGTTTACAAAACACACATTGTATATGCACATACATATGCAGCCCATTTGCCCACAAGGGCGGGTGGACACCTTATTCAGGCGCTCCTGAGGATGCTAGAGGCCGGCTCAGACCCCAACACCATCTCCACCGGCGGAGGCACGGGGTTTCTGCGGAAAGCACTTGATGTGTATGGCCTCGGTGTGGATTGTCGTGGC